TTTTTCAAACATCTATACAATAATAGGAAATTAATTTTCAATGATTATTTTGGAAACTATTAGACTATACTTTACTAGCACTTTATTGCATGATCAACCACATCCTCCTACATAGAAGTACTTTCCTAATGGTGTGGACCGCATCCCATAATCACTAGAATACAGTATTGAGTGAGAAAAAATTAAGAAAGCTGACCAAAAATAGGTGTATTTATTTAGTGTTTTTTTTCTTTAATTTTTGTAAAATTGTGTATTTTATGTGTAATTTTGTCTCTAAAAACAAAATCATGAGAATTTGGTGAAGTTTGATTGAGCGCTATGTTGGGTATCTATTCCACAATGTCAAGACCATAATTCTAAGGTAAAATTTTTTGTAAGAGCCCAATGCCTAGGTGTCAAGTGACTAGCGTCATAGTACCTCAATGCACAAAGATAGCGTCATAGCACTATGCCAAGTCATTCCAAGCTAAGTGGATGAGAAAGATCCAGCTCCACAACACTACCACTATCAACATTGCACCGTTATGAATGACCAACCTCTTTAACAAAAAGACAAAGAAGATAATTCCACAACATTAGGAACCCATAGCCATAGCGCCGCTGCCTAGAGCTACGATGCTAGATTTGAGAGTTGTAGCCCAGATTTAGTGCCACAAATCCATAACTATAGGTTCGCAATGTGATGACCCGATAACATGGTTAGTGAGGTTAGAATTTGAAATTTTTGGACGAAGAATGATTATATGTGTGTTTACTATTTGAAGAGTGTGTTAAAGATTTTATGTAAGATTTTTGGCAATTCGTTTAGTGTATCTATAGTGAATGCCTAATGTGAGGGCTTCTTCATTTGAGAGTTTAAGTGTGACTTTTTTTTTTGTTAGTGGAAAAATGTGATGAATCATGTCAAAAGCTTGAAGATTTCTACAATCATAAGTTTTTATCATTTAATTTTAATTATTTTTTTGATTGACATTTTGTAAGCACACTCTTATATTGTGGAATGTGTTTACTCATGTTATTTTATTGTATTTTAATGTTGAGCTAAACTCTATAATTCCTATGAATTTCTAGTTTATTAAAATAATGTTTTGAATTATGTTTAATATTTTGAAACTTTTAAAAAGTTATTTGTGAATCACCAACTTCATTTAATAGTTAGTAGTGACCATACTTTTGTTTAAAACTTTGTGTGAGTTTGTAATATCGACAAAGCTCTGTCTTGCACATGAAAATTGACAATGTATATTTAGAAAAATTTATTTACTCTCCTCTTAAATCTTCGCAATTAATATCAAAATGTGTATATTCCATTTTTGAAATACTTATGAACATAGAAATATAACTTAGGGTTTTAAAAATTAGTGTTTTTGTTGCTATCGAAAGAGGCCTAAAACCATTACTACTCCCGATAGACAAATTAAATTGTTTAAATCTTTTTCATAACATTAATTTTTGAATGAAGAATTCATAAGATTCTTCACTTATTGAATGAAGAATTCATAAGATTCTTAACTTACATTTGAAACTCCTTAGATAGAAATAAGAAAAATTAACTTTTCAAAATATTTATTTCCTTGATTTGAATTAGGGTTTATGAAACTAGTGTTTTGATTTAATTTTCTATCACTTCATTTTCCCATGAGATGATTTTTGACTGATTTTCATAGTATTAATTTCACAATACTTGCACTTGCATGAGCTCATGAAAAATTAGGCCATTCAATCATCGCGAAGGTCTTATAAAGTTTGGGTAGATTCATAATTAAGGAATATGTCTTATTTATCTTGACCCATGGGTGATTAATATGATTTAATGGTTAAACATGGTATGTCTATGGCCAAAACACTTTTATCTTGAGGTCAAGTATGACCCTAAGTTAACATAACAAAAATAAGAATTAGTTAAAGTCAATGTCAAGGTTTTCAACTTTGATTTAGTTTAATTAAAAAAAATATATTTCCTTAAATAAGTGAAATGGGTCTTTTGTTATAGCCCATTTGACCATGAGTCAAATGGCTTGATAAATTTCTTTGACTCATGTGGTGGTTTAAAAAGAGTTTAAGGCCACCTAAGAAAGGTTATGTTTGACCATGTGAGAGGTTTCATAGGGCTTGATTAGGATTTGATCTAATTGGATTTTAGTTTTCATAGAAGTGAGATGAGGTTTATTTAGGATTTGATCTAATTGGATTTTAGTTTTCATAGGAGTGAGATGAGGTTTATTAAGGGTTGTCCTAATGGGTTTACTGCTTAGCTAATGTAAGTGGGAAGTGTTATATGGTTATAAAAAGGCTTCTATGCAAGTCTTGGGTCAAATGGTTCAAAGTGTAATACCATTTGAATCCCAATATTTGTGTTTTTGGGTTTAAATTCAAGTTCAAACTATTATCAAAATATTTTTTTTAGTATATTTTTGATGAATTTTAAGAATCCTAAGGAATATTTTAAGGTTCATGGTTAGCACCTAAATCAAGTTATGATTAACTTAGTCTTTAAGTTTCAAGGTTCTAATATAGAGTATGAATCACTGTAATTATTTATTTGGGCTTGATTTTAATCTTTTTTTGGAGCTAAATAAATCTATAGTTTTTCCTTCCAACTTTTTAAAATAGGTTAGTGATTAATTAGGTGTATTTTAAAACCCAATGGATCTTATATAATTAGTCTAGCTTCAGAGTAGGTTAGGGATTCATATAGACTACCATGCAGACTTAGGTTTTGAAAGTTTGGATTTCTATGGCTAGTTAGTGGAAAAGTTATTAAGCTTTCACCTAGAATAACTTATAAAGAGCGCCATATAATAATATAGAATCTCTATTAAGCTTTCACCTAGAATAACTTATAAAGAGCGTCATATAATAATATAGAATCTCTTAAAGATCCAGTCTAACTATAAATGAGGATATTATCAATCTCATTAAAAATGATATCAATATATTTTGTATTTATTTATTAAATAAAAAATTTGCATCTTTTGTAATGCCTAAAACTCCTATAAATATGAGACCAAATGACTTTTTCTGGATTGAACAAAATACAAAGGTGCATAATTCTAGTGAAGAGAGAAATTCACTTGAAGTTTTTCTTTGACTCTTCTTTTTTGTTTATTATTATTATTATTTTGCGTAGGTTGTTCCCCTATCTTAGAACATATAGCCTTGGGGATCATGAATTGGAGACTAGCTACCTTCGTTGTCGGTGTCCTATTGCACTCCGTGACATCCATCTTATGAAGGAGAATTATTGCTGCTTCTCGGATCGATAGTGCTTGTCTAGCTTCTCAATTTTGTGGAAACACTATATAGAGCTTTTTAGAGACATTGGAAGAAGCATGTGTGAAATTGGGGTGCAACCACAAAGGTGTCAAAAATTGATGTAACATGTCAACCCTACTCGAACCCAACTCGAAAAATCTAGGTTAAGGTCAGAGAATTCAACTCGTTTATTATTCGGGTCGAGTTTGAGTTAAACCCAAAATCCGAAACATAAATTGAGTAAGCATGAAATTTTGGGTTGTGCTCGGGTTAACGGGTCAAGCTCAAGTTTGGGTCTTTGTTTTTGACCTATTTATTATTTGGGTAGGGTTCGGGTTGACTCTATTCGAGTTTGGTCATTTTCAAGTTGGACTCAAACCAGACTCGTCGACCCGAATTGACACCCCTACAACCACAGGTGGCACATTTGATGATTCTTTTTCTCCAGTTATGAACTCACCGCAGCCATCGTAGGCTTGCCAGCACATCACCTCAACAATGTTACACTGTTGATGGAGGGTAAATTTTGTAAATATGCACGTAATATAAGGATTGTTGAGTGCCCTTATGTAATTCCCCCTTTTTATTGTCCTTATTATTATTATTATTATTATTATTATTATTATTATTACATTGAAAGTCTAACTAAATGAATTTCGAGGAAATTTAATGGATCACGCGAAGGGTCGGGCCATATAGCATCATATTGGTTGGCCGTATCATGGGCCGACCAAATGAAAGTTCGTCCGAACCAAACAACGATACACACCTAAACTGACGATAACTCAACCGATGCAAAGCCACTCACAAGATGAACGGTCGCTTAGCATAACTCCCACTCAACCTTTATGAAGATGTCTCATCAGAAGGATGGTTGCCCATCAGATTACAGTGATGCACATTTTGTATGGTGGAATAACCTTTTCTGAGGACAATCGGTCTTCCTGAAGGGCTCCCTCATAGAAGCGAACAAATGATCTATCATTTGGTCGAATGACTTTTAATCAACCGAGTGATGATTAAATGACTAAGTCGAACAATTACTACTAAGAAACAATGCTAGTAGCAGTTACAAATACAAAATTACGCCAACAGTGATTATCAAGGTCAAAGGATGTCAAAGTCAGTTACAAACATGTAAATTTGTAATGATTTATAAATCTACTATAATGTTTCTATTAAATCAGGGACAGACATGTCAATAGAGGAGTCATTTCTTCGAGTTGGACTATTGAATCTATTACAGAAGAATTAGTACTATTTGTGCTTATTTCCCCTTACTTCATTTTTCTCTTTTCTCCCATTCCTCTTATATGCCGAACGCTCTATCCATTGAGCATGACACAAAAGGGTATTTTGAGATTCGAGGATATTATTATTATTATGCATAGGGGTTTATGAATGATATATCCTTTGTAACTGCATAATATGATCACATGATTTGTCATTTATGAATAATATATATTAAAAATTTAATCATTGCATCACAAAAATATGGACAGATAACCCAAGAAAAATATCAACTCATATTCCAAAAAAAGGATTATATTACAAGGAAATGCGTCCAAATAGATGCAGCAGAGGTAATTTTATCAAGAAGGGGTGACTAATGATAATAGTTATTTTTATAACATTTAATTTTTGACTTTTTTGTTAAAGAAATTGAGTGCATGTTGCCTGTTGGCTCTTCTACTCACAAGTTAAATAAGCAGCCTCGGGTAGAACATCAAACACGCTCTGTGGTATCAGGTTGTAACTGAGGCCGTTTTCTTCTCTTCCTTTTTTCTGCTCTTTTGTCTACTGTGCATTATTCCCTCCACGACCCTCTTTTGCGTATATCGCACAAAGTTATCACCTTTCGTCTTCCACGCTTTTCTTTCTATTGAGCATCTCGAGGAACTTTAAAAAAATGGTTTTTTGGGTGGTTGGAGCACGCTCAAGTGGTGCTCTCTGAAATCTTCTAAGGTGACGATCTCTGTTCTCACTAGCTCGTCCTCCTCTCCCTTCTTTTTATTCTGTCGCTTTTAAAAATCTGATTTTGTGTTGCAGAGCGTGGTTTTATTATATGGTTTTGGTTTTTGAATCGTCATGGAGCAATCCGGACGGTTTGCTTAGATTGCTTGATGGCTATGGGTTCTCTGAATGATTTATTGATTCCGGGCTCTGCAGTTCCGTCGATGTCGGAAGGGAAAAAGGAATGTCCCCTTGGTGTCTTCTTCAAAGACGCAAGGTTGTATGAATGCTGATTATAGTTTTAGTTTTGAGATTTTTCTTGTTTTGCAAAGCAAAAAGATTGGATTTTGATGCTTATTCTGAGTTAGTTTTTGGATTGAAACTTGAAGGAGTGCGTTTAAGAAGGATGAGTTGGGTTCAGAGATTGCGCAAATTGCGCTGCCTGCTGCGCTTGCTTTGATGGCCGATCCGATTGCTTCACTGATTGATACTGCGTTCATTGGGCAGATAGGTGTGATCTTCTTATCTGTTTTGTGTTATTTTTTGTTATTTTTAAACTTTTTTTTTCTTTTTTCTTTTTTTTTTTGTATGAAGTTCTTTGAAATAGTATTGGGATTTACCTTGCATGCAGCCTCTTGTTCTCATTGACATAAATTGTTTTGACGAAGTAGTGGCCAAAGGAATATAATTTTGTGCATCCGCAATTTACTTTTCATCATCTTTATATTCTACAACCAATTCACTCGATTCATGTAGATTTTAATGACAGTATTAGTGAGAAAAATTCTGTTTTAATCTTCATTCCAACAGTACTGCAGCTTTTTATGACCAAGCAGAATTTTAATTATGGAAATTTACATAGTTTACCTAACAATTCTTATGTATTGACACATAAAAAATGCAAAGTTTGATATTTACATGTATCACATTTTGGTGTCATAGACCTATGCATGGAAAGATGTATTTCATTTTTAAGAAGATAATGATGGTGGTATTTTTGATGTCATGTTAAATATTCGAGTGGGATGCATGGAAATATGAATGTTTCGGTGGATATGTAAATACATACGAATTTTGTGTCAATTGAGCATTGTTTTACAGGCCCTCTGGAGCTAGCGGCCGTTGGTGTTTCGATTGCAGTGTTTAATCAAGTATCCAGGGTTGCCATTTTCCCTCTAGTTGGTGTCACAACTTCCTTTGTTGCTGAAGAAGATGCTACCTGTAAAATGGCTGATGAAGAGCTTGAAGTTGGAGACATCAAAATTCCTAATGAAATGAAAGAATTGATTTCTCATAATAGTATGATTTTACATCTCTTCTTCTTTGATATATTATTGTTCTTTTTCTATTTACTTTTTCCCTCAAATTATTTTGATTTCTTAATAAATTGATGTGGTTATTGCCTTATTGAATCATCAGATTCTGGTGAGAGAGCGCAGAGTTTATCCTTTCCTTCTGATATATCTACAAACTCTGCGAAGATGGAGTTTGAACGCAAGCATATTCCTTCAGTATCGACAGCATTAGTGATTGGTGGCATACTTGGCCTTCTTCAGACTATGCTTCTTGTCTTTTGTGCAAGACCTATCTTAAATTTTATGGGAGTGAAACTTGTAAGTCCAATTTTTAGTTGGTTGTGCTTGCATTTCTTTTTAGTTCTCTATATTGATGTTCAAAGAAAAGAAAACACTTTTTGTTTTTTAAATACCTTTTAGGATGTAATATGATATTATGTTAAACATTTGTTGTAGCATCCGCTTAGTTTTAGTTTTCTTTTTTGCTTTATTTATTCAAATTTGTTTATGGAAGCGAATATGGTATTAGTCCAATTATAGAAACAAGAAGTGTTTACTGGAATAGTGGGCCACACTTGTTTAATAATCCTAACTCTTCAATCTCCATATGTTTTGCATATAGTTATAAATTTTATGTTATTTCATTATAATATATGTGATATTAATTATCATTTACTAATATAATTAAAAAGAAAAATGCTAATAGGAGTGATGGATTTTGGGGCTCTTTGGTTTGCTGAAAAAGAAATTCATTGTAAAAGGAATACATTGTAATTGAAATATAGTTTATTTAACATATTTTGAAGTTGTTTGCTTCAGTGTAAAATAAACACATGAGTTTAAATTTTTGTGTTTGATTTGAAGAAAAATGAAATCAATGCAAAACATAGTTGGTGGTGATGATAAGTGGCGGCTAGCTGTGGGGCAATGGCTGGTTGGCCAATGTTAGGGCAATGGTGGCCAATGGGTTGCAATTTAGAAACTCTAATTTAAAAAGAAAAATTTACATATAACAACAAGTCTTTATCTCACTAAGTGGGGTGTTACATGAATTCGTTTCCTCCATTATGTGCTATTGAGTGTCACATTCTCACATAGGTCTAATAAATTAAGATCATATTTTTATACAACATGGCCTAAACTTTTTAGGTCTACCTCTACCTTAGTTAACATAAGTCAAATATAAAATATCTTCTCTCCTAGCAGGAGCATTAGATGATCAACATTTAATGTGACCAAACCATATAAGACACTCTCTCTAATTTTGTCTACCTCTGGAGCTACGCCAACACCCTTTCACAGATATATTCATTTCGTATTTTTTCTATAAGTGTAAAACCACTCATCCACCAAAGCATTCTCATCTCAACAACACTTAACTTAGTTTTATGCTTCTCTTTTATAGGCCAACATTCTGTGCAATAAAACATTGTAGGTCTTACCACCATCTTATAAATTTTCCTAATTGGCACTTTTCTATCACAAAATAGCCACGATGCATTCCTCCACTTCAACCATCCAACTTGAATTCTACTAATAACCTCCCCATCTATATCACCATCACTTTGTACAAATGTAAAAATATGAACCCTCCAATGACATAATGTTATATAGGGACTTGATTTGCCTTTTGATGTTTATGTCCTCTGATATCACCCTACTACGGCTCACATAAACAACACACTGGATTGATTGATCCAATATTCATTTAGGAAACTATTTGTCTCCTCTCTTCTTTGTATTGCTTGGTATGTGGCACTACCAAACTCACTTTCTAGTGCATCGCATTTTTGTCAAGTAGTATGAAGTCCAGGTTTTCCCTAGCACAAAGTAATTTAACACTTCATCTGATTGAGCAATGTGGTGGTCAATGCAACGCTCCCAACAGAAATAGTTTATACAAGTTTTAACCTTAGCTATGTTCCAATGTCTTAAAGCCTAGGCAGTACATGTCTGATTTGTGCAAATTCAGATACCTTATATCCCCCTAAAGCTTTAGCAATCCTCTTTGCAGATGATATGCAGTGTAATAGTTAAAACTTTTCTGTTTATACAAATTAATAATAAAATCTTAAATGCAAACATAGCATATTAAATTGATTATCTTGTATCTTGGTGGCATAGGGGATCATAAAGTGCCGTCTCTTAAGTTCTTATTGAAAATTCGATTATCATGCATATAACCCTTCCAACTACTCGAAATATGAAGTGCATACTAAATTTGCATCCAACTATCATAATCACATTGAATAATATTTGCACTTTGTTTTTCGCGAGGGATATCTGCATTGACATGCAGCCTATCACTATAAACCAAAGTTTATAATAACGATGCAAAAATCTTCAAACATGGACAAGGAATATAAAAATTATCAAAATATATCACACTTCAATTGGGATATCATCAGGTCCTACAGACTTTCCACCCTTGGTTTTCTTTAAAGCCTCCTCAACTTCTTTTTTGCTAATGCGACAGTAAAAATGAAACGTTTTATTATTATTCACAATATTAAAATCACTAAGGTCGATCGTATTTAAAAAATACCCAAATCTAAAAAAATTGAAATACACTAATTTTAAACCCCAAGGTAAATTCCAAATTCACCAAAATCTTACATTGTATTCATTTTTTTCATCTAACCAAATGCCAAAAAATTTAAAAACACCTTTATTTGATTTAGTTTACGTTACAAATTTATTGAGCCAAATAAACTCGCAAGAATTTTGGATCTATTATAGAAAAATTTTGCTTGATTAAAATAACTATATTATGATGAATGTTTTGTAAAACTTGACGGGACAACTTGAGTAATAATTAATAGGGGGGGGGGGGGGGTATCTATTGAAGATATGATATTAAAATTAAGTTTTAGCTGATTTTAGCTTCTATAAAGAAGGATAGAAAATTTATGAACAATATCACTAAATAAAATAAATTTCAAAGAATTAGTAGGGAAAATTGGTGAACTTATAGTTACTAAGAGAGTGTAATATTGGAGGGTCAAAATATACTCTCTATACTAGTAGATGGACACTCATAAATCCCAATGTATTAATTGATGTGTAAGGGAGACTACTAAAATGCTTGGAACATAACTCTTATTTTACTTATGATATATGACTGTTTTTTACTCTTTTATGGTAACTAAATAATTTACTCATCATATAAAGTTGTCCACCTTAGTCAATGCTCCACCTTAGATGAAAATTTTAGTACCATACAACTTTTGCGCACTAAAACCCTGTGAGGATGACTTACTATAGAGTTAGAAACCTTGCTCAACCATGCATATGATAGAAGTCTCCATGACCTAGGGGGGTAAAAAACCACATGACATTTCTCCTAAGTCAACCATTGGCTTTGATATCACTTGTTAGTAGGGTGGAGATCATGGGCCCAAGTTGAACTCGATGTATTAATATCCGGGTACCTATTAACCTAAAAGATTAAACTATCGTGTAAGAGCTACTACTAGTTTATCAAAAAGTCATCTTATGTTTTTAGTCTATGTGAGTTTGTTTTCTTGCCTCAAATAAACCTCAAAGAAGATGACTTCAGTAGAGGTTGTGCAAAATGATTTACGTAATTTATACACGCAAGCTAAATAAAAATGTGAATGCACTCTTGATTTTTTTTTTTCCAAAGAAGTGCGCAATAATGTGAGGGTTAGGGATCAAAACTATAACCTCATTATTGAGAGTTTAGGGTATGAACAACTAAGCCAAAGCCTAATTGATAACTTCCGTAAAAAGTTATGTATTAGTTACTAAGAATTATACTGAAATTTTATTATTAGGCTATGTTTTGATTATAAATATCTTATGTCTAGGAATAATTTAATAAAAATTGCATCACCCACATTGAACTTGGACCTTATTGATGCATTATGTTCCATATAACGTCTTATGTATGTGAAGCTTGTGCTAGTTTTCTTTTCCAAAATTGGAATTTGCGTCTGCGGCATAGAGTTTCTAGATGATTTCACAAATCTAGTTGTTAAAACTTCCAATTTTAGTTTTCATTTACCAGAAATAGGCGAAGTTTGGTGCACAATAGAAATATCTTTTATGCACTGTTAGTTTTTTCTTAAACCAGCCAGTTTTGGTTCATTTTATCAAAAATGTCACTTTCATTACCTAGAATATAGGTATAATTGTGTTCATAATTCACAGATTTAGAGATCTATGTTGATATTTGGTGAAAAGAAATTAAGACCAATTGGGTTAAGTTTGATCCCATTGATTGTTTGAATGAGTAATGATTAGGAATAATTAAAGCAATTCTAAGCTAAAATCTCTTCTTTTTTTTTTTTTTTGGCTAAATTTAAACTTGGTGACTCAATAATGATTATGCTACCCTTCCAAGAATTATTCTAGTTGGTCCCTGTAGAACTTCTACATTTTATATCGATTTATATTTCAATTGTGCAAAATTGCAATTTGTTTATCATATGCTTTTGTTTTAATAGGATTCTCCCATGATGAACCCAGCATCTCAGTATTTGACATTGAGGTCTCTTGGTGCTCCTGCTAATGTCTTATCTATGGCCATGCAAGGAGTTTTTCGAGGATTTAAGGATACAAAAACTCCTTTATATGCGACGGGTACGGAAATGTAAATATTTTAAATTATTTCAAATAGTGTTATTTTTTGCATTGAAATTTATTCTGTCCATAAATTGCTTTACACTTTTACTTATAAGGTTTGTAAAATGGAGGACTAAGATCTAGTAAATGATTTACATGGTTGAAAATCTAATTATATACCTCTGATTATCAATTTATAAACCTCTCATCCGTAGGTTAGTAAATATAGTTGGCACAAGTTCAGCCCAATTTAATTATAGATAATTGTAACAAAAAGAAAAAAGAAAAAGAAAATCTACCAAAAGAAAAAGGTTATATTTGTAATTCACGTTTTCATCACTTATTACATCTTATTAACAAACATAAGTTCATGTTTTTGATATTTCAGTTGCAGGGGATGCGACCAACATACTATTGGATCCACTTCTTATGTTTGTTTTCAAATTAGGCGTCAGCGGTGCGGCGATTGCGCATGTTATTTCGCAGTAAGTACTGCCGCATCATAACCATCATTTATCCAAATGCATTATTATATTTTAGGGAAATTTACATTTGTAGCCCACAATGATTTTGTATTTACATATCTCACACTTAAACTTCCATATTTACTTACATAGCACTTTGGTGCTTTATATGTATGCATGAAAATGTGTATTTGACTTTTATAAAGTGGTAAAGTGCTATTTTTGATGTGATATTAAAGAATTGAGTGCTATGTGTGTAAATATGAAAGTTTGTATGTATCTTATTCAAATTTGTGTTTCTTTTAGTCTCCATTTTCACTAATGCAGTTCTTGTTCTTCTGTAGATACTTAATTGCATTAATTCTGTTGTGGAAATTGCTGAGAAGAGTTGAAGTGCTACCACCTAGTCTTAGTGATCTGCAATTTCACAGGTTCCTTAAAAATGGTAAATTTAGAACTGATTATTTTGGTTAAGTTTCACTTTTGATTTCATATCGAACACATAAACTTCAATTTTTACATATATATATATGGAATTGGATAGTATATATGTAAATTTATATTTTGGGCATTTGCATACATACATGCCATATGTATTTACATATCTAACCCCTAAACTTCCATACTGACATGCATCCCACTTAAATCTTTAACATCACATAAAAAATACCATGAAATTATCTTTCTAAGAGTGAAATGCAGCTTTTGATGTATAAGTTTATGACACCAAAATGTTATACATGTGAATATCAAACTTTTGTATGTCGTATATGTAAATTTTTCTTGATTGTTATGCATATTGAAAAAAGTTTTTTAAAGCTAGATCTAAGATGTAGATTAGAGCGGATAAATCAGAAAAGCGATTTGGTTTCAGGTTTCTTATTGCTTGCGAGGGTGATTGCGGTGACATTCTGTATAACATTATCCGCATCAAAAGCCGCACGAATGGGCTCAATTCCAATGGCAGCATTTCAGATCTGTTTGCAAGTGTGGTTGACAATCTCTCTTCTCGCTGATGGATTGGCTGTCGCCGGACAGGTATGCAATGCTATTTTCGTTCTCTTATTTACACTTCGAAGTAGCTTGCTGATGATAGATGTTTGTTCGTTAGAAAAACAACGTTGTTATGATTGTATGGTCGTAAATGTGCAAATCTTTTTGTTGTTATCATTTGTAATAGCCATCGTTGGTAAGATACATGTAACTTTATGTCTTAATTCATCCAGGCAATACTTGCTAGCGCCTTTGCAAGGAAAGATTATCAGAAGGCGGCATCTGCCGCTTCGCGTGTATTGCAGGTATATATGCTTTAATCACAGCTCTCAATTTTTCGTGCACGCTTACGGCACCTATCTTGATGCAATCCACAAGGTTGGTCTGCCTGTGATACATAGGATCTGTTGGGCCCAACGCATCGCACATAACTAAAAACCTGTCAAAACCCAACGGCTATTAACGACACGTGTTCTGAGAGCATTTTTCATCATTTATCCAACATTTTTCTTAATTATATGTGATTTCTCTGTCCTCAAACTCTGATGATCTGTGTTACAGTGGGCAATTATTCTTGGTTTGTTCCTTTGTGCTTTGCTGGGGGGTGGTTTGCAATTTGCATCAAAATTGTTTACCAAGGATGCTGATGTGCTGCACCTCATTCATGTTGCAATCCCAGTAATCACCTTCTCCCTGCAAAATAAATATTTACACTTTACATTGGTTTCCAGTATTGATTTAATAAACAGAGGTGTTTTTTGCAATATCTGACAAAGATCCATATTTGTTTTCAGTTCGTGGCGCTGTCACAGCCGATAAATGCACTGGCCTTTTGTTTTGACGGCATTAACTTCGGCGCATCGGATTTTGCGTATTCGGCTTATTCTCTGGCAAGTTAAAAGAATTTTGAGTTGTTTTCTTATGATTTTAATTGTTATGTGTAATAATATTGTTTTCTTATGATTTTAATTGTTATGTGTAATATTTTTTTTATAAAATTTCTTTACATGGGCAGGTCATGGTGGCCATTGCCAGCATTCTATGCTTAGTTTTTCTTTCCAAAAGCTATGGTTTCATTGGAATATGGATAGCTTTGACTATTTACATGAGTATGAGAATGTTTGCTGGCTTGTTGAGGTAACTTTTCAGGAAGATTTACATACATAACATTACATTTCTAACACACAAACTTCAATTTTTACATATATACCAAAAAATAGTGGTATTTTGATGTAATACATAGGAATTGTGTGGTATATATGTAAAAAGGTCGCTTTATTTTCTTACATGTTTGTGTATGCTCTTCTACAGGATAGGTACTGCAAGTGGACCATGGAGCTTTCTTCGAACTCACCGGTAGCTCATTTTCGCTCCGAATTGTACTATTCTCGTTGCTTTGGATGCTAGAAGAATGCCATTCTCATTTGAAGGTACAGTTTATCCGTATTTTCGTGTTATTTAACATTCTTGAAGGGCTTCTTTGTAAATATACCGAGATCAGATGGTCCATGGATGTGCAATTCATGTATTTCATATGGTGCAGCATGCAAATTGTTCATTAGGAATATAAGTTATCAGCAAATGCTCATTTGTAAGCAGTTATGCATGTATATGAATCTTATTCTGTTGAAGGGCCTTTTTGCAATTTTTTTAAAAAATAAACTTAGTTTGATTGGAAAATGAAGATTTACATGCATACCACTCAATTCTTATGTATTTACAGATCTAAAATCTAAACTTCAGCTTTTTCATACATACCGCCACCTTACCTATGCATCAAAAGGTGTATTGCAATTGCTAAAATGGTGGTATTTTTGATGTGATATGAACGATTTGGGTGGTAAAAATGTAAAAAAAAATGAAGGTTAGGAGTTGGGTGTGTAAAAGCATAGGAATTGGGTGGTATGTATGTAAATGCTTCTTGGGGAAAATTGTTAGAAAGTGCACTTCTGTGTAAATATTTTACTGACAAGTATGAGAATCGTGTTATTGTGATGGTATTTTTGTAAATGATGCTGATGGTTGGTTTTCTATAGCAATCCTACATCTTTTGAAAATTGTCTTGGTAGTTTTTGCAATTAGGGCCTTTGGTGAGTGGGTTTTTGTTAGTTGACTCGAGCTCGAACGGCCTTCCCTCGGGTTTAGTGACCATGGTTCAATCAATTGAGTTTTGAGTTGAACATAATGAGTTCAAATTGGCTCACAAATTGGATTGTTAAGATTTTGCCTTTTTTATTGTAATTATTTTGAGTACAATTACATATAGACCACCTGAAACATGCTATTTACAAAACAATCGTTCTTTTTCGTTCATTTTTCAAATTCTCACTCAAATATCAAAATTCATGATAAAATCCCTTCCCATTTTTTTCATTTTTATCAAATTCGCTATGATTTGATCGTGACACGTGCAAATACATCAGTTGATAGTTCAAAATAATTGTCTGATTGGCTAATTTGTAAATATCAATATTTTGGGTGGTTTGTTTGTGAATGTCTTATTCTAACATTTTATTTGTAAATATCAATATTTTGGGTGGTTTGTATGTGAATGTCTTATTCTAACATTTAAAAAAAGGAATTTACATATTTGATATATCAAGTTATTTTGTATATGAGGCATTTACATAACCCAATGTTGTATTTATTTACATATCTCAACACCTAAACTCATTTATATCACTCGAATCTTTCTTAGTCACATCAAAACTATTTCTCATTATAAAAATAAAATACAGTTTTTCATGCCTATGTAAAAGAAACAATATTACGTTCTGAGTCTGAATGCAAGCTGCAATTGGATAAGGGTTGCGATCTACTGGAGATTGTTTTTTTCTCCTTCACTCCTTACGGTGGATTGCAGCCTTTGTTTGGACGTAACTTACGTCTGGACTCTGGACGTAATATTTTTTCCATATAAAGTGGCATACTGGTGGGCGCGGGCGCACACACACATCCATATAAAGTGGCATACTGGTGGGCGCGGGCGCGCACACACACATCAATAATATATATATATTATTGATGTTTATTAACAAAATGCTCATAAGCCAACAAGCTAGTTTAAGATCGTTTTAAATTTGATTTATTGACTCTCAAATTACTGACTGAGCCAAGTTTGAGACCTTTCATGAGTTATGTGGAAATAACCACCTTTTTATGAAATTGGTGGCAACAACATCAAGAAAAAGTGATTAATTTAATCATCTTGTATTCATTTATTTTCTATAAGTAGTGGTGTTGCGTTCTCTGATTCTTTGATTGATATCTGCTATGTCAGTTCTAAGTCCCCTGAAGTCGGGGGTTCGATTCCGCTGGTGTGAGGATCTGTCTAGTGGTTAGACACATGAGATTGGTTGGGGGCTCGTATCATAACCTCTGACTAATCTTTTTTTTTTTTAATATATATATTCTATAAATATTTTATTAACAATATACAATAAATATTGTTGGAAAAGCAACAAATTACTTCAATGTGCCACAAAAGATTTTTAATTATAAATTATTTTTTATTTTTAATCTCATGTGCCAATTTTGAGATATTATGAAGAAAAACAAAAGCAAATTTAAATATTTGGGTGGAACCTCGCACACTCTTCGCTTGCAAAATAAGCAATCCAAGCAATCAACAATGCTCACTATTTCGCTTAATTATGCCTTCCACTTCAAGAAAAAGGCAAATTGCTCCTATCATTTTGTCTTAAGCATGTGAGTAATTATGAAAGCTAAAGTATTTTTTATTTCTAATTAGATTATCAAAAGCTTTATAGTAATCAAAGCTACTAATTTCGAAATAAATAAGGTGATACTTAAACTTGGTCTAAAACTTTCTATTTACAAAACTAGCTCCTATTGTTATTTTCTGCAATGTCGTGTTTCTCAAAACCCTGGACAACAAAGAGAGATAAGAGGGAGAGAGTCTCGCAAGATGTTGACAATGGAAGGTTCGGAGAAGACCGATGATGGTTAGAAGTCGAGGAAGAAGATGAGTTAAGGAGCTTGCGATAAAAAGTGAATTGAAGAGACCACTGACATACGCTTGATGACAAGATAAAATGTTATTTGAAAAGTTTGATGTTGTGTGAGTAAATAGAAGAGTTTTGGAGTTAGGTATAATAGATAGTATCAATTATTAATGTGAAAATGTGCTTTTAATTATAGGAGCTAGATTTAAATAACTTGTTTCAAGGAATAAATTTATTTTGGGCTCTATTCATGATAATTATTATTGCTCTAGCATTATCAAAAATGAAAAAATATATTTTAATATTTGAGAAATTTATAATTGGATTTTTATTGGTGATTCATACCAAATATATAATTTTACTTATGTAACATTTTAATTTTTAATAGTATTGGTTTACTTGTGTATTTTTATCTTTTTGTTAATATGTTAGCATCCATTTTTGATGCAATGCATATGGGACATCCTTGCTGAGTGACACGGGATCGTATTGGGATCGTAGATGGACTATTGTGGCTCGAGTGGTCCTAGGGACATATAATTGAATGCTTCGGGCATAGTAGTTGAGGCTTACACCTCCATAGTCATTCCCAGAAGCGATGGTCGCCAAGTCGGCATCACCTTTGGTGTTCCCCGTGTCGACATTTGTTCCTGCATCATGGGGCCATATCTTGTTGTTACAGATGTTCTCATGACGCAAACCGTCGACGAGATTACCTAGCATGTGTTCATACCTTAAGCCTAATGTCACGGACAAATAGTCCCACATCGGCTAGGTGTAGGGCCAAAAAGCAGTATTTAACGATCCGTGACGAGGGCGTCACGTGATTGGGTGGAGGAGAATGTCACGGACAAATAGTCCCACATCGGCTAGGTGTAGGGCCGAAAAGCAGTATTTAAGTCCTGGGCTGCCCACCACCCATAAGGGCTCTTTTGGGAGGTGACACTAAGCTCTAGAAAGACAGATTTCACATTGAAACTGTTTTACTCTGTGAAATGCATATGTAATGCCTCCTTGAGTTCTTGAGTCCCGTTTACGACTTCTATGGAGGTCCGAGGGTCATTTTTTGTTCATATTCATTCCTTTGAGGTTCCGATAAGGCCCGAAACCCTTCGACGGACTTTTTCGGAGGCTTAACTTACGTGTGGTCCAGTTTGACCACCTTTAAATTCGACTTTGCCACGTAAAAACTTCTCCGAGAGCCCGAAAACCCTATGGTCGGCGCGATCACTCCCAAAGATGGTCCGAGGGTCATGTTTTGCTCATATATAAAGTCAATACATATGATTTTAGATAATTGCATCATATTTCATATTATGAGGAGAAGCCCCCTTGCTTTTTCAAACTGACTGACTTAGGACGAAAGATTTTATGCTAAGTCTACATAATTTCACAATTATGTAGACTTAGGCTTCTAATAGTTTGGGATGAAATATTTGTGGTATCTTGACCCGACAACTTTACCTGATTAATATTACTCTACCCTTTCTTTTTATAACCAATACAAGCCCTATTGCTCCTTTGACTCTTTGTTGATGTTGTTTCATATACCTGATTGCAGATAGGTCACCGCCCGTTTGGGATACAGTGATTCACCCTCTACCCTTTTAGCCCAGTTTGGTCTGAAAGCATAGTGCAGACCCTACAAAACAACCTAGTTATTTTATAGGCTTTGTTCACCGATGAGCTGTTACTCATTTGGAAGCATGAGAGACTCAGTTTCTGCCTTGTAGCGTAGCAAGAGCTCTGAGGCATTGGGATGCTCCTTTGAGATAATCATCCATTGCGACACCTTCTCACTAGTCATCACTTGAATGTAAGCAAGACCCTTCTATCAAGAGTACTCTTAGGCATCCCCCAAGATGTAATTAATGAAAGAGATATGTCCCTTTAGAAGTTGGTCTAGACCCCCAAACAAAAATTTTTTTTTGGTTCTCTGGTTACTTTGGTGGCTTATGTGGGTATTCTTTTATAAATATCTAGTTTAAGGTGCCTCAATCCGAACCCTATTTGGACGTACATCTTTGACCTATCGCACGAGGTTTACCTCACATATGCTCTTCAATTTCATTTCAAATTTGTCTGTCTAGTCTCCATCTTAATCTGTTCTTTTCTAATCCCTCCTCTACTCCAAATCATTCATGCGATTCATGTATCGATGACTAAACAGACCGACGACTCTGAGCTACAAAAAGAACCGAAACAAAAACTTTCCATGTAAAACTTAAATCATAAATGAATCAACCCATCATAGATTTCTTTAGAATATAAGCCTAGAAACTCACTCTAGTCCATTTGATCTTAATTAAATAGTACCACACAATTTTATGTATTTACATATCTAACACCTAAAGTTTGATGTCCACATTTATAACACTTTGAAAATGTGAGCAAGTGTCTATTTGAAATGATGGTAAAGATTTTAGAGTTATGAATATAAATATGAGAGTTTAGAACTTAGATAAAAATATACCAAGAATTGTAGGGTATGTATGTAAATGCCCCATTAATCAATAATTATTTCAATTGCCCGAATTGATTTCGACGTCATAATACTTTTGGACTTAAACTAGTCTTCGAGGAGATGAGCAAATTTGATCCGAAAATAGTTGATGAAAGGTTTATTTTTTGGGATGTTGTATATATTCATATGGGTGATCAAGAATGATTTTATGCATATTTTTATATACATAAATAATTCAATTTATTTTGAAAACCTCAAAACATTATTTTAAAAGTTAATTGAACTTTAATTTTAGCAAATTTATGATTATGATAATGCATACCAATATCAAAGCCAATATTGCTTGTCAAACATTAAAAGGAAGGAATGGTCGGAGGCTATTAGACGAGCTCCAGTTATCTCCAGGTGCACTAAATATTCGAGTATCATATCCTACACACGGGATTTGAACCCGTGATCTGAGAGGACTTGCAACCTTCAGAGAGGCTGCTCTACCAACAGGCCACGAAACGTGCCCATATCTATATATGTAAGCATTGTAATTGGTGTGAACGTCATGCATCGATCTTGTTGGTGACGACAAGCATGGGCATTATTAGCATTACCATTGATAACTATGTTAGCATGGATGAGCGTCAATAATGGTATTGAGAGAATGTGTTGGCCTTGTCGGCATCTAAGAGGATCAATGTTGTTATTCACAATAGGCGACAACTTAATTGGAGAAATGACTCGAGAAAGTTGATTCTTAAGATTTTTAATCAGTATAGTTGTGTCAAGATCGATACTTGGTTTGGTGGATTTTTTTTATGGTGTTCAAAGATAAATCATAAATTATAAAAAGCATATATTTATTTTCTTAAAAATTTTAAATATTTTTCCATGTTTTCTTAAAACCTCCTTCAGCAAATTTTCATTACAATCTTCTCCATTTTTTATTTAAGTCCATAATGAAAATCAACTAAAATAAAAAATAATAACAAATTTCAAATCTATTACAACTAAATCAAATCTAAATACTAATTACACCACCTAAACTTAAACCTAAACTTATAAACCTCATTATCAATGTTAAGTAGGTATCATCATGCATGAATGGGAAAAAGCACTTCCCTTTAGCCACCTCCATAAATACACCATCTCCTATCTCCTCCACATTTACATCCACCACAATGGCAACCCAACAACTAGAGCAAAGACTCTCCAACTTGGACGACGACTCCGCCGCTCTCTTCCACTCCCCGCCATACCCTCACTATTACGTACAAAGCCCCTCGACCACCTCCAACTCCGCCGCCATCCCCCCGCCTTCCTCCTCCGACTCTGGTGCCTTCCTCTCCCCCACCTTCCCCTCCCATCACCATCACGACTCTACTTGTAGCCGTGTTACTCTCTCACTCTACTCCTCTTCCTCCCGGGGTTCAAAGAATGACTCCTATGTAGAGGAGAAGAAGCACGAGGTGGAATTGAAGGGAGGAAGACGCTCAAATGGGGCAAATGAGGAGGAGGAGGAGGAGGAAATGGGAGGTCGTGGGATGAAGATGAGAAGAAGAAGAAGAAGGGGTTTCATAAAGAAATTAGTGGTATTGGATTCGAACGAGTCGTCGTGTTGTTGTGTGGTATTTCACTTTGCTTGGAGGATAACATTGAGTTTGGTATTGGCTATCTTTGTTTTCTTCATGGCTACCAATCCTCCTCAGCCTGAGTTCTACTTCAAGGTAAATTTTATTTAAACATATGATTAACTTCTTGCAAGATTTACATGCACAAAACTCAATTTCCATGCCTTACATATGTTTCTCCGAAGGTATATTTCACATTTTAGAAGTTAAATTTGCAGGGTTAGATATGCAAATACAGGAATTTTTTTTTAAATATGTAATTTTTTTTATAATTTTGATGGCTCAGATTGTAAATGTTAGGCACTTTAGCCTTGGGGAAGGAGTGGATGAGACTGGAGTGCCAACAAAAATACTTTCCTGCAACTGCTCGGTAGACATGAATGTTGTCAACAGATCAAGGTTTTTTGGTTTGCATATTTACCCTCCATTGCTGGAAATGAGTTTTGAGACTCTAAAATTTGCCAGCTCGCAGGTGGGGAAAGAAAAAATCCCTTTTTACAACTCATATGTATTTACATATCTCACGTCTAAACTTTTGAGATAGGCATATATATGTAAGAATCGCGTGCTATGTATGTAAATGTCCTGTAAAAATAGGAGGATTTATGTACGTACCACGAAAGTCCTATGTATTTACATATATAACAGCCAACTTACTTGTACATGAAAATGTGTATTTCATTTTTTTTTTAATTAAAATTAAAGATTTACATATATATACATGTCACTCAGCTCTATTGTATTTCCATACCTAACACCTAGACTTTAATTTTTACGTAAGTGACCCTTCCCTGTGCATATAAAGATGTATTTCACATTCTAATAGCTGAAGTCATGGTATTTTTGATGTGATATGAAAGATTTGGGTGGTATAAATGTAATAATTAAAGTTTAGTTGATTGATATGTAAATACATAAGAATTGGGTGGTATGTAGGTAAATTCCCCAATTAAAAATATTGTGTTTTTTTTTTTTTTTTGTGATATAAAAGATTTGGGTGTTATAAATGTAAAAAAGTAAAGTTTTATGTGTTGGATACGTAAATAGGCACATATTTATGTAAATACAATAATAATTAAACAATTTTTTTTTTATATATTTAATGCAAGGCTAATTATCAAGATTTTTTTTTCTTTTTATTTATTTATTTTTTTTAGGGTCAAGCATCATACGTTGAAAGCAAAAGTTCTTCGACTGCGCGGCTCTTTATCGGTGTAAAAAACAAACCGTTGTATGGTGCGGGACGAAGTATGGAAGATTTGCTCGAATCAGAGAGAGGTTTAACGCTAATGGTACGAATTCGAATGCATTCGAGATATCGAGTTGTTTGGGGTTTGATTGAGATCAAACATCATCACCTTCAAAGTTGCAATGTAATTCTTCAAGCCATGCATGATCCCATATCCTATGCTAAATTATACGGCAGCAGTTGTGTTCAGAGTTGAAGAACATTAGAGATAAGAGGGGATGAGAGAGTTATATTGTTGGTGTTTTGAAGGGAATTATGATAAAATGAGAGGCCAAACAAACTTTGTTATTTCTTAATATTGCTTTTTAATTTCAAAGAACTATTAAAATATCATTCTAAAAAAATTATAAATAGATTCACGTTCTCCACGTAAAGACGACGTATTTGAAAATGTTGAAATTTTGAGATCGAAATTGTCCTAAGACCTCGGCTGGCATTCGAAGCCGGTGAGCACTGTTATCTTTAAAGATTGCTCGAGCATTGTCTCTCGACTACTACCTTTTGGCCATCATATCTCCACCGTATTTTTTCCCAACTTAAATCAATATTTATACTTACAACTAGGGGTGTAAACGAACCGAACACGAACGAACAAAGCTTGTGTTTGTGTTCGGTTCATTTAAAATTTAGTTTGTTTGAAATAAGCTCGTGTTCGTTTTCGCGAACGACGAGCCAATTTGACATCTCTAATATTAATATATAAAAATAATATTATATATTAATTATATAACTTATATTATATAAATATACAATATCTATATTAGTATATTACTACTATAGTATATTAATATATTATTATTATTATTTTATTATATATTATAATTTATAAAATTTAATGTTTTAAAATATAATAATTTTTTTATATATAATTATTTTATATTTCAAACAATAACGATTCGAACACGAACGAACGCATCACTGTTCGTGTTTGGTTCGTTTAACTAACCGAACGAAAAAAATTTGTTCGTGTTTGTCTCGTTTACTTATCGAACGAATCGAACACGAACTCATTGACGAACCGAACACGAACTGTTCGCGAACAACGAGCTTTTTTGACAGCCCTACTTACAACAATTTGGTGTCATGAATTTACACATGAAAAAAAAGTATTTTACTTTCAGAAAGTTAGTGATTGTGATATTTTGATGCGATGTTGAAATTTTGAATGTTATAAATATAAATATAGAAGATTATGAATTAGATACATGAATGCATAAGAAGTATGTGATATATATGAAATTGAGCTTTATTTTTTTGGTGATTATTTAAATTACTTAAAATAATTTTAATAATTTCATATTCTACTAAAACGTATTATATAATAATAATACATTGAATCCTTTTATGATGGTGGATCCAATATTATAAAGATCTTGTTTATTGTAGAAGAAATGTATTAAGAAAGAGTGAGTGTAAGACCCGAAGAGTGAGTGTAAGACCCATTGTAAGTCTTTAAGATTATTTATTGAACTTGAGTCAGTGGCAAGCTGGAATATCGGGCTCCTTGTATATTTTTCAAGCTATAAGGTTTTATATATATTAATACTTGATCATTAAATTTTCATCATCCAAGACAAGTCTCAAGACATGATATGAATTTTGAGACAATCTTTTGAGCAAAAAATGTTCAGTAAAATTATAGTCAAATTGACCGATTCGATGAGACGGACCCAATAATACCAAAATTGGTTAAATCTAAGTAAAATCAAGCCCCAATCAAATCATTTAAACAATTTTTTAAAGTTTTTTCGTGCATATTTCGAAAGTAAAACGGGTGCAAAATCTGTAGAGCTTATAGTTGAATCGAGCGTCTTGACAAGAAGAATCCAGTGAGTCTGAGATCGCTCAATTCTGACATTGTTAAAACACTCAAATGTTTATCAAATATCGTCTGATCGAGTTGAGTCTGCTGAGCCGTCCGATCAAAATGATTTATATTCCTTCATTAATTGCAACTATTGCTCTATAAATAGAGCTCCACCCCTCACATGGATGGGGGAGAGCTTGAAGTCTGAAGAGGAAGCTTGAAGCTTAAAGAAAGAGTTGTCTAGCATCAGTCCAGCAGTTGTCGATCGCCACTGACTACCGTCGACCACCACTCACCGGCCGTCGTATATTACCATCAACTGTGGCCCATTCCTCACAACAAGGTTCTTCGTGCACCGACTTTGTAAATCAAAAAATTGTGCAAGTCTTTTTCGTCTGTGAGAAAATGGATTTTACATGTAACCTCTAGTTTATGGTGGTTTCTTCAACTAGACTAGATCCCATGATTTTTTACCTTTCCGGATTTTACATGTAGAAATTTTTGTTGTTTTTACTAGTTTTTTTTGTTTCAATTGAGTGTGTATTAGATCTTCTTAAAACGCTGAAATAATAATCTATTACTCTACCGTCGCAAATCTTCTAGCATTCATCATATAAAATCATAGATATATGCATATACTCAAAAGCTATGGAAATCCCAATGAAAGGGGGGTGTTCCCTCTCTTGTTGCTTGACTTTTTTATACCAAAACAAATAATTATAATAATAAAATATTTAATATATTTAGTATTGTAAGATTTTCATACATGGTATCTTGATTCAAAGACTGTGATGTGAAAGTTAGACGATACTTTTGAAGATCAATGAACCTATGTCACTGCTGGCAATGATGTCCATCTCTAGTAATTGCATCCCTTTAGATATGCTAGGCTACCTTCCATGGGTGGAAGAGACCAGTTCAGCCATCTTGACAGATGAGTTCGGTTCAACTACTTCAATAGATAAGGTCCAGAAAGGCAAAAAAATAAATCCTATAAATCCATTTTCATGTATGTACTGTAGATAAAAACATATAAAAAAAGTAGCAATTATAATCTTATAACAATTTTAAAATTTAAATTATATTTAAAAAAATTCATATATATCTAATTGAAATAATAAGCTTTAAATTGTCTCAATTGTAATATTACAATCATTAATAATTGAATTATCCTCTTAAACAGAAAAAAAAAGGAGCCTGAACGTCCCTCCCTGTAACCAAATGAGAGATGTTCATCCATCCTCAAGAACTCTCTCAAATCCAAGCCCACATCACCAAAACCCTAAAACCCAATTCTATTAACTCCCTCCTCAGAACTTTAACCCTCTCTAAAACCCCAGAAAAAGTCCTCCCACTCTACAACCAGATGCTCCGCTCCCCTTCCCACCACGATCATTTCACCTACACCTTCGCCCTCAAAGCTTGCACCTTTCTCCCCTCCTCCCTCATCCCAAAAGGCCGCGAGGTCCACGCCAGCGCTCTTAAATCCGGTCACCACTCCGACCTCTTCGTCCAGAACTCCCTCCTCGCATTCTACTCAGCCTCCTTCGACGCCGAAGCCTTCCGCAAAGTCTTCTCCGAGATCATCGCACCGGACGTCGTCTCTTGGCAATCCCTCATTCACGAGAAATGGATGCCCAGGTGAGGCCCTCCTCGCCTTTGCTTCTATGGACGTCGAGCCAAATGAAATGACGCTTGTGAGCGCTCTTTCGGCGTGTTCCCGGCTTAAAGATGGCAACTTGGGGAAGATCCTGCATGGGATTTGCGTCAGAAGGTTTGGCGGACATGGAGGTAATGTTATTCTGGACAATGTTTTGTTGGATGTCTGTATTGTCTGTGGCGCCTTCACCGACGCAGCTCAGTTGTTCGACATAATGCCTCATAGAGATGTTGCGTCGGCAACCACCATGATTTGTGGCTTTGTTCGGTATGAAAGATATGAGGAAGCCATAGCTCTGTTTGGAGAATCAGTAAGGGATGGAGAAATAGTGCCTAATGAAATCACTGTGGCTTCTGTCTTGGGAGCTTGTGCTTCTGCAGGGATTTTAAGTTTAGGAAAATGGGTGCACTGTTACTTGCTCAGGACTGGCATTGATGTTGATGGTATCGTAGGTAATACTCTCATTCACATGTACTCGAAGTGTGGCGCCATAGGAGCTGCTCTTCGGATCTTTGGCCGACTTCAATGCCGGGATTTGGTGTCTTGGTGCACAATTATGAATGGAATGGCTATAAATGGAATGCCCAAGCATTCCATACAATTGTTTTCTTTGATGTTGTGCTACGGTGTTCGACCAGACAACGTAGCTTTTCTTGCAGTGATGTCTGCTTGTTGCCACGCCGGCTTGCTCGAAGATTGCTTGATGTTCTTCGTCTCAATGTATGATATTTATGGTATTCTTCCGGAAAAAGAGCACTATACGTGCGTGATTGATACATATGGTCGAGCTGCTCGTTTAAGGGAAGCAGAGGATTTTTTTGTTTGTATGCCAATGAAGCCGGACAAATGTGCGTGGGGAGCTCTATTGAGTGCTTGCGGCACTAATGAGGTCGCGTATGAGCGGATTCAAAAGAGAGTTTTTCATCTTGGAATGACTTTAGGTGGAGGAACTTATGCGCTTTTATCGAATATGTTTGCTAAGGCTGAGAAATGGGATGAGTCTAACAATGTTAGGAAACAATTGGATGCGAAGAAGGTTCGTAAGCCGGTTGGCTATAGTTGGATGGAAGTAGCCTGATCGAGGAAGTTTGATTTTTTTCAATGTTGAAAAGTGGAATATCTAGTTAGTAGAGCTTTTATTGTAATGCTCATTTCTGCAAAAAAAAAAAATTTTGATTGGTAAGTGCACTGAATTGTATAGATGAAATAAAACTATTCGAAGCTCCAAAGGACTGGCAAAGAAAGATAGATTCCAAGGTATGATTTTTTTGTGGATTAGCTGCTTTTTTACATTGGAACCAATGCTTGTATCATTCTATCTTTGGAGTTCTAATATGCTTTTATTAAATATCAGCTTTGAAACTGGGAAGATGAGGAGCAATATGGAAGAAACTGAGGTGATGAACATTGAATTTTACCTGGTTGTTGCGGTTTGAAGCATCAGTCTCCAAAAATGTATTTTTTTTTTCCATGTTGCTTAGGGATGCTTGCCCATAGAAAAAATAAAAAAAAATAAAATATAAAGGGGCATTTACATACATACCACTCAATTTTTATGTATTTCTATATCTAACGGCTAAACTTTACCTTGAACATTTACACCACCGAAATCTCTCATATTTCATAAAAAATATCACTATTTTAACTTTTAAAAAGTGAAATACACCTTTTTCATGCATAGGTGAAATGGTGTATATGTAAAAATTGAAGTTTTGGTGTTAGATATGTAAATACAAAAGAATCGAGTGGTATGTGTGTAAATCTTCCTAAGAATTAACAAATAAGGTTCAAAAATAGATGCCTGAATTTATTTCACTGATGGAACAGGTTACTTTCAAATGAACATTATTAAGATCCTGAAATATCATCTTCAAAACAGGAAAATCAGGAGCTGTATGACAGAAACTGTGAATTATTCCTTGCAGCTTGAAGGTGCTGTCTTTAAAAAGGTATTTTTTTTCTTTTTCCGTGTTACTTTTTCTGTGTTTTTACCTTCAAAAAATAAGCATATCTGAAATTATTTCTCTGATGGATCATGGTACGTTCAGTAAATTTTACCATAGGTTTTTTCTATCTGCATTGGTTTTATTTGAATAAAAAATATTATTCTCTGGCCATTTAGTTGCATGCATGTAGAAAAAGTTTATTTTATAGTGTGATGATTACATTCTCACTTATATTGTGTTCAAAATGAAATCTTTACATTAAAAAATTGAGAGTTTAAAGTTCATATTGATTTAATTACATTCAATCAAACGAAATAAGGGAATTTAGTAATTTCATTATGTTAGTAAAACCCCTATGAAGTCTCTTTAATATTCGGATATTATTGTTTCGATTGCTGTTTGACATTGTTATGTTTTATTGTGATGTGGAATTTGTTTTAAAATAAGCTCATTGTTGGTTGCCTTTTATTAATCTTTTAAGTATCAAATGTTCTGAGAAGTTTCCTTAACTCTGAAATTAGAGGTCATTTGTTAATTGTGACTGTTTTTAAGTTTTCTGAATGCGGTCCATAATTTGGATGATCATAAGCCAGCAATGGCTAATTCACATTGTTGAACTCTTTCGAGTAGCTGTTATTTTTATTCATTGATTTTTTTTTTTCTTGGGGCATTACGTACACACCTCCCAATTCTTATGTATTTACATATGCAACATCTACTTTAATTTTTGCATTTATACCACTCAAACCTCTATTATATCAAAAATACTATCATTTTAACTTTTACGAAGGTGCACCTTTTCATGATAGATGAGTGATATGTATGTAAACATAGTAGTTTAGATGTTAGATATGTGAATTCATTGGAATTGAGTGGTATGTATGTAAATCTTCCTTTTTTCTTAATTTAAAATGCATTTTGAATGCTCAACATAACATAGGAGAGCGAGAAAGAGAGATGTGGAGCGATTGCCATGTATGTGGGAGCTTTTTTTTTCTTCTCATTTTCTTAGGAATTAGATCTTCAAAATTAGAGTTTCTTCCCATCTCCTCATTGGTTCTCATACTTCCAATTTAGAGCTTTAAAATCATCGTTTCCGTCATATATCATCCTACATCCTTTTCTCGCTTTCTAATCTTCGTCTCCATGTTTTTGTTTTAGAACACCATTGAAGCCTTTAGAAATATTGAAGGGCATTGATTAGACCAAAGCCACCATTGTAGCGTACAGACTAAATAATAACGTCTCTTTCAATAAACCATGAATGCATGCCCACCACATTTTGAATGTTAGCCATGTCTGTTAATATCCCAATGCATGTTATCACATGATAAATCTATCTCTAATTCCTATAATTCTTTGGGTATGTACATCCCACCCAATTCTTATGTGTTTACATATCTAACAGAAGGACTGAGTGGGAAAAATCACGGGGCTGAGGCGGGAGCAGTTAAAGTTTTAAATTTTTTTTTTCTTTGTTTTTCTTTTTTTATGGTCAACAATATAACATCTAAAATATCACTATTTTAACTTTTAAATAGTAAAATACACATAGTTAATGTGGCATATATGTAATAATCGAAGTTTAGGTGTTAGATATGTAAATACATTAGAATTGAATGGTATGCATATAAATCTTCGAAATTCGTAATGCATTTTTTAAGTTCTCTCCATCTTAAATAGTGCGGATATATTACGTACATATTGAATGCCTATTTGAAATGATATATAAATCTCTTCTTGTATAGATATGTTTGTCTAAATCATGCAAATTTTGAAGGAATCACAACCATCATTTATGACATTATGACTCAAAAATAAAAAGGACAAATCTTAAAAAGCTATAATTCTATTATTGGCATCAATTCTAATGATTGACAATGACACTACTCTATGCTTACTAAATAAGAAGGTATCATATGTACCAAGGATAAAACTATGAAATCTTACATGTGCTGTTGAACTGTCATTATTCGATGCTTGCATGTGCGTGAACCAACAATGTTTAAGTTTCACCATGCTTTACCAAAATGTCAACTTTGGGACGCATGCTTATGTGTGATGCATAATTATGTTGCACACACTCCCTTGTCATGATGTACACATTCAAGCAAACCTTGTGATACTCGACATTATTAGTGACGGATCAACTGTTTAATGAATATTGTAGCTCTATCTATCATGCTTGTGAAGTTCATGTTGGTTTGATACTTTTCTTTCTTCGTATATGCATTTAACGTATTGATTGTCATTTCAAGATGGGAAAAACTCGAACAAAATTATTATTAGATTTTATTTTTATTAGAAATGGTGATTCAAGCAAAGTTGTACTCATGGTCGAGGTTATGAGCCACAAACTTAGATTGGTTTGCTCAAATCAATTTTTTTGGTAGCATGGTTATTTTCCATTATCTTCGTCAACACATGCAAAATTAGCTTATGATGTTGGAACAAATTCAACAATGATTTCTATCATACTAGTGCGAGAATGTGGCAATGAATTGAGTTGTATGTAAATCTTCTTATGTATTTACATACATACCACTCAATACCTATTTATTTACATGTCTAACTCCTATTTAAGAATTGGACGGTATGTATGTGAATCTTCATAATTGTATTACCATAATGCTCAAGGAACTCTTTGTTGTCTCCTAGCATGGTCAGTTCTAGAACTTACATGAGATGTTTTCTTCCAACAATATAGGATGATGTGAAATCTTCTATCATTCTTAATTGTTCATAAAAGTAAGTCATGTGATATGTTATTTTTGAACTAATTTAAAAAGTGCTCTTGTTTTTAAGTTTGGATGTTTATGAAAAAATATTACATCCGGACGGCGCGGATTCAACCTTGGCAATGCACATTGTGGCATGATCGAATCCACGTTGTCGTCCGCACATCCAATGACATGATCGAAACCACGTTGTTGTCCTCACATCCTAACAACAAACGTAATATTTTTTTTCCAAATTTATTGTGTTATGTTCTTAAAATATCATGTGTGATATGATAATTTCAAATAAATATTTATTTAAATATATAATTTTGTTTTACATTGTATCATGTGGCTCTTTGACCAACGAAACATATGGTTACCATAATATAAAATATATAATATTAACTTTTATGTATAGAATTAATTTATAAAATCAGCGGTGCAGAGAAGGCTAAAACGAAGAAATAAAAGCCGCGAGCGAAGGAGAAAGAGGACAGAGAGAAACGTCGGATATATTTCTTCGCCATCGTCTTCCTCTATGCTGGACCTGTTCTTCGCGGCGGCGCTTTCCGCGGGGCCGGCGCCCCCCAGACCCCCTACACTCCCCGCCGGTGAGGAGCCTCAACCTGTTCATTGAAAGAATGGAGTTATTCGTCAGGGAAAACTCCGGCTTATATGCCAATCGTGCCGTCCCCCTCCTCCGCTTCGGTTTCCGACGAATTCTTACCGCTTTCCTTCAAGCGCTTTCAGGTAGAGTGCCGATCTATTAGGGTTTTTGTAATTCTCTCCACTAATCCCTCTTCTTCTTTTTCTTTTATTTTGATTTCCCCCTTGCAAATCCCTGTCGATTGTGAAAATTGCTTGTTTTGTTCAATCTGGGTTGGGATCTAGGGTTTTGTTTTAAGAATGTAAAGTTGGATTTTGTAATTTGTATTTTGTTAGGGTTTATAGTGGATGATTTGTGTAAGTTAATCGGATGGCATTTTTGGATGATTTTGTGGTGGATTTTGTTCATTGTTTTGTGATTTGGCTGTGGAATGATTGAAGATTTATGAAAACTTGCTTGAATATGTGCAGATGAATCATGAATGTTCATTCAATTATGAAAGAGTTTTTTTTTTCCCTTATTTATATTCTGAAAATAATTCAGAGGTCCAAATTTAGGATGTTTAATGATTTAGATGGGCTTTTAAGGTATGCTTTAAGATGATGTATGGGTAATGTTAGTAGTATAATCTTTGTAAAAATTCGTAGTTTTATTTGAAACATAAAGTTGACTTTTTTTAGGGGGTATCAGACATGCAAAAATATTAACGTCCCTAGTCCGAACGCAAAGCTGTTGAACAACGTATGTCCACGGGGAGAAAGAAAAAACCTTTGTTGTATTATGTCCGTTGTTCGGGCGCAGCTTGCGGCCGGATTCGGGACACAATATTTTCACATCCAGCATAACTCAAACATGGGCTTTTTAGGTTGGAGAGATAAGCCTCTTGGGTGACCTACTTAAAGCTTATATCAACAAATGCTCTTGAGAAGATTGATAAGTGTTAACTTTATTTGACAAGAAATAATTTAGAGTCCGGCTATCACACTCAAAATTCAAATCATTTAGAACTATTTTCATTTTTTTTTAAAGTAAAGAGTTAGTAAAAACATTTGTTTTCGCTTTGGAAGCTATGTAAAGAGTTAGTAAAAACATTTGTTTTCGCTTTGGGTGACCTACTTAAAGCACGCGAACAACCGCCCCATAAAATAGAGTTTTGTCACCACTATGTTGATCATCCAAACTTTAGGCTTGGAAGTTTTTGGAATTCAATTTTTACGGGGCTCTGATTTGCAAATCATCAGTAGCATTTGTTTCTCTTAACAAAACAGAAAAATTACATTTTAAACCTTCGTTTAATTTTATAAGTTTGCCCAATTTTTCATCCTAAAGGGAGAAGGATCAAGTCAAGTTCTCTTTAATAATAAATATTTGGCGTTTGCTAATCATCAGTATGCATGTGTGATTGCCCCAACCATTAGATGCATGCCAAACAATGACACCCATTGTTCAAAATCAGCCAAAGCCCATTATTATTCTACTTCTAAAACTTGTTTCTTCCCCTGGTTAGTATTATTGACTCGTGCTTAGCATACCTCATCGACTTTATTAACCTTTGATACTTTCGACCACCATTTTTGGAGACAAACTTCAACAAATCCAAATTCTAGCAATAAACTATTTACGGACTATGGGCATTATCACAACTTGTGTAACTCTCAATTCCTATTTTTGTGGCTTACAGACACTATTACATCTCGCCACAACGATCTATGTGACCAACTGTGACCTACGTAACTTATAACTACTAACTCATTTAGCTTCTAACTCTGACCTCTAGAGTCTACGGGCGTTGCCACAACTCGCCCAACTCTCAACTTCGGCCTCTATGAATTGCAAATGTTATCACAACTCGTGCAACTTCTAAATTCGGCTTCTGCGGCCTACAAACGTCATCGTAGCTCATCACCACGGCCTACGTGGCTCACAACTCCTGTGGCTCCCTACTGCTGCCCATGTGGTCAACAAACGCTTTTGAAGCAATTATCTATGACTTACATGGTTAATTACTATCATAACTTTCAACTATGACATCTACACAAAGATAGTGCTACAACAACCATCTATAACATTCACGGCGGACTATTGTCTCCATAGTAATAGATTGTGGTCTTCACAACTCGTTACAGCTATGATTGATGAAATATTATTGTACATCAATTTTGCAATTTCATATTCTCTAGCATACTCACCATTATATAGTGGATCAGTTCAACTATGCCGTGTCCCATGATTTTCTCCCTTTCCAAAGTTTTCACTTAAAAAGTCTAGGTGTCTCTTCATGGTACTTGTCACTTTAATTACCCAAGTGTGTGTTGATTTTTGTGCAATGCTAAGAAGCTTAATAAGCAACCTACTGCCGCGAATCTTCTAACACGCATCAACACCTATTTCATACATGTGGCAAGCACGTAAAAATCGAAGTCTGAATTTGATATGTAAAAATATAGGAATTGAACGGCATGTATATAAATCTTTTTTTTTTTTAAGCATGGGCAATTTAGGGATTATAGTGCATAATGTTTGTTTAATTAAATTTTTATTTTAATTTTATTTTTTTTTGTTTGAATATAAATATCTTAATATTTTATATTTATTTCTCAATAAACAGTTTAATTACCTTTAAATTAGCAGTGTATCTTATTTAAATATGATATATAAATACTATCTATTAATTCCTTGAAGGATTTAAATACCACCCATTATATATATACATATTTTTTTTTTATTTTTGATATTTTGGGGTGATATGAAAGTTTAGGACGGTATAAATGTAAATAAAGTTTGTTTAGGTATATAAATATATAAATGTATATGATTTGAATGGCATGTATGTAAATACTCATAATTTTTTCAAAAGTTGAATATGTCAAATTTTAATAACATTATCCTCACATCTTCTAGCAGGTTTGCCACTAAATGCGCGACTTGTCTAAGAAAATCATTTTCTAAATTTATTTTATTGCGGTTTATTTATTACTCCTCCACGTATGACACCAAATGTCTGCCCATATTTAGCCTGTAAAATTTTTTTTTAATTGTACCGGCAGTGCACGATAAGCGTGCCAATTAATATATCAAATATATATTAATATATTCATGATTGTAGAATTGTACCGGCAGTGCACGATAAGCATGCACTCCAATTTATAATCAACCGATGGGTCTCATTGAGAAGAATCACATGACACCCGCCCAAATTATGCACTTAAAATATAGTTGAAAGCTTTGAAGTATATTTTAGAGGACCAAATGATCTCCCAATGTCATAAATTTATGTTCAAATCGAGCTTCTCGACGAGGCGGATCCAACGAGCCCAAGAGCACTTAATTCTAATGTCATTAATATACTTGAATATTCATAAAATATCATTCAATCAAAGGGATCGCACTGGGTTGTTAGATAGAGTTGTCTGGATTCATGCAATATTTACAGAACATTTCACTCACAAAATCTATAAATAAACCTTACTCTCTTCATGAGAGAGGACATGAACCACGAGGATAAAACTGAAAGAGCTACAGAGATTTTACCTTACTCTCACTGTAGTTGGACCACCATTGCCATCGACGATGCTGACATCAAATTTTCTATCACTCGATCTCTATCACCACTCTTCTTTCATAACGGTCAGGCCATTATCACTTCCCCAAGATTTGCACTACTTCTCTAGCAAAAGTCGCATTGATAACCCCCAGTCTTGTAATATTCATTCTAGCTAATCAATGATCCATAAGGACTTATAATCTTTATCTAAATAGTAAAACTATTTCAAGAGGACTAAGCCCCAGAGATTTCACCTTTATGAATTTTGATGTAGAAACCTCATGTGGCTACATTATCAACTAGTCTTTTATTCACTTGCCACAAAGTTAAATTTTTTATTTATATTTATAACATTTGAAACTTTAAATCATATAAAAAATATCATTATTATTAATTTATTAAAATAAAATGTATCTTTTCATGCACAGATTTTAACATTAAAAAAAAATTATATGTAAATATCAAATTTTAAATATTAGATATGTAAATAAAAAAGAATCATGTGTGATACTTACTTATTTTTCCCCAGTATTTTTGTCCCCACTGTGATACCCTGGAATTTAAGGGCCATTTGGGGCAGTTTATAAATGTGGGGGCGTTTTTGAAAACGCCGTAGTATTATTTGGATCACGCGTTTTGTCCGTTTATCCAAAAACACGATTTCATTTTTACACTAAATGAGGTCGCGGGTCGAACCACGCGGTCGACCCGCGGGCCTCATTTCAGGATAAACTGTTTATCCTAAAATGCACAAGCTGTCCCAAACACATCTTAAGTTTGGGTCATATCGGTATCACAAGAAAGTTTTGACTATTACTCTTCGCAAGCGGTAGTATTCAATTAGAATTAGGTGTAAATATTTGGAATATATCGTGTTTTAAATAAGGAGTTTTGAAAATTAAGATTTTGATTGATAAAAATATGAATTTATATTAGAGGGATTTATGTCCAGACCCCCCAATTTCAATATATTTACATATCCAAATCCAACAGACCAACATCTAAATGGTCATGTTTGCCCCAACAAAATCACATCACGATCACTCTTCTTCAAATGCGACCAATCTAATCAATGCTCGCCACCATGCAAATACATCATGACTCTTTATTTGACCCAAATTATTTTCTAATTAGCATAATTACGCACAGAGCAACTTGAAATATTGATATTTACAACTCAAGTACATGGGTGATTTTTTTCAACTCTAGAATCAATACATTTACACATGCAACTACTTTAAGAACACCTAAACTTTATTAGTTTGTTGTAAGATGATTAGTTTTGTCTTTTTGGGTAAATTGCATTTTGACAGTTTTTTCAAACTGTTGCAGCTAAAATCTGCATTTTTTCAGGCTGGGTGAGGTGATAACTTTCTGGTTGCGGTCCGATCTTTTTTTTTTAAAAAATTATTATAGTCATCATAGTTTTTTGAACATCAGATTATTTTTCAGCAGCTTCATCGTTATTTTTTAATTAATTGCAGCTGCATCAAACAGGCACTCAATCTCCAACTCATTCGCGGTCTCTCAGCACCATCGATCGAAAGCTATCGGTAAATGCTAAGTATGCAATTGTCCATTTTTTTTTTTTAATTTTGAAATTTTAAATAACTTTTTCTTTAATTCCAATAGAAAAATAATTACCCCAAATTCAAATATATTTTATTTGCTTTTATTAAATTAATTTTGAGATAAGTTTAATAAATATGTAAATTCAATAATTTTTCTGATCAAATTTGACTAATAAATTAAGAATTAAAATAAATAAATAAATAGGTTAAAGCCGAACCATCCGAAGGCTGGTGACCAGAAGCATTGCCTCCTCTCCAAGCCATCTCCTCCCCTTAAAACCACGGAGTATCCCGTCTTCCACATAAGCCTCGCCATTTTCGTCAGACTTTAGGGTTAGGTCCATAAACTGAACCCAGCTTCCAAATCGCCACCACGGGGGGTGCAATCCTTGCTCTCCGATCCGAAATCCCCACCATCTCCTTCCCCCTCTATGAGCTCCTCCTCCACCAACCGCAACGGTCCGCGCCCTCGCGCCGCCGCC